CTGACCTGGACTCTTCATTACCAAGGCATCAGAGTCATGCTACTAGGACCATCGTCGAGCAGTGTGAGGCCAAGAGCACAACGGCGGCCTGCTCAGAATCCGTACTAGTACATAGCTTCCTAGATAGTCTGTATTAGAATCAGTCCTCGTGTGAGATGTCTTCAGCACCAGGGAGTCAAAAGCCTCTGCTATCACTGCATCATAGCCCAGCCTGAATGCGCGCACTCGCATTGCATAGCTCGGGAGGCTTCCTCCGGAGGCTTCCTCCATGCTACGGTCGGCGGCCTACGCGTGTCAGTATTACAGCAAGTGCAATCCCTCACCCTCTGAGCAGCAACCACTCCATCCTTCTTAAGATATTACTTCCCTGTCCGGGTTCTCTTTCAGGTTGGAGGATTTGAGAATAGCTTTCTCCTCTGTAGGGACACCCACCAGCTGCTTGGTTGAAGTTCGCTCATTGGCCCATTGCAATGCCGAAGCTTCTCTCAAGCCAATAGGATCAGGCCCTCAAAATGGAGCGTGATTTGACGAATGATGAGTTTGAGGCTTTAAATAGAAGGCGAGAGCAGCAAGGCAAGGAACCACTGAGCTGGCGGGATGCACAGCGCCAGGCCCGGCGTAAGCCGAACCACAACAGAGGAGGCAAGAAGGCCAAGGCAGCTCCGTCCTCACAGCCTGTCACTTTCCTGCCGAGAGCGGAGGTTTCCTCCGCGGAGGTTTCCTCCGAAAGAACTCCAGAACAAGCTGAATCCACTTCCTTTCTGGTTCCTGATTTTGATCGGAGGGCCAGTGGGCAGGCATCAGACTGGAACACCAGCACTCATGTCCAGAGCCGCTATGCATGGAACAAGCGTCACAAGGAGCGTGAACAACTGGATCCGACTAAGGATGTCATGGAGGAGGCCAAAATATTTATCCGCACGTTTCTGAGAACGCGTAAAGGTCCGAGCAACTCAGACTTGACTGCAAAGTTGGGAGATCCTGTCATGCAGGAAGACTGGGTGCGCTTCCCCCTAAGAGATGTTGTTCAGAGACGCACCGGCACGGATGACAGAGTGGGCTATCATGGGACCAAATTGGAATCGCTCTACTCGATCCTGTATTTAGGAAAGTTGCAACCGTCCCAGGATTCCTCTCAAGGCGAACAATACTTCGAGGGCTACCCAGGAGTCTACATCCATTCCGGCAGGCATGAGCGCAAGGCGGAGTCATATGTGACGCATGTATGGTTTCCCATCTTGAAGGAAGGCAACAAGTCTCTACGAGCAGTTGCGGCCAAATTAGCAGTGTCGTTCGACCAGGCTGCAGGATCTCTCCGTGGCTCCAAAGCAACGGATCAGTACATTCTCAGGGAAGACTACGTCCAGCTCGAGGCGCTGTTGCTTCACATCACAGACTCACTGCCTTTGTAGCGAGGGAAAGACCGGAGGAGCCGAGTTCATACAGAAATCCACCAAGATCCTCCTCCCAACCTGCCAAGGAATCAGCTGCCTTTCAAGATGATGATAACTCCACCTGGCAGGCCGCAGCTCATCCTTGGAGAGGAAACAAGGCAATGGCCTCTGACCAAAGCGCTCTGCCGACCTCCTTGCATCAGCCCGAAGATGATAGTGATGAATCCTGGGGGATTTGGTCACCAGCTGCGGATCCCACAGGCACAGATCTACAGGATCCATTTCATCAAGAAGTCCCACAGCATCAAGAGGGAGGCAGAAGAGAGCACGCCTGGCAGCCAGCAACTCAGCAATCACCGAGTTTAGCAGATCTGGATGGTAATCTTGATCGGCTCTCTGGACGGGGCGCTCACGAAACCAGACGAGAGATGATAGGCAAGCTCCTCACACAGGCTCTCAGACATGACCCAGTGAAGTATGGCATTTCGCTAGACACTGCTGGCTATGCCAATCTGAAAAGCCTTCTCAATTCCAGGCAATTCTGGCGGGCTGAAGTGACAGTTCATGAAGTACAGCGAGTACTGGAAATCTCACAGAAGGTCCGCATGGAGCAGATGATCTCAGAGGAAGACGGGGAAATCTACATCAGAGCCTTACAGGGTCATGGTCGTGACATCCCACTGGAAGACGATCAACTGCATGAGGTCCTGACCTCCTCAACAACACCGGAGTGGGGTGTCCACGGGACGAGCTGGCGGGCCTGGCACCAGATTCGCTCCTCTCAGCTGCGCAGAATGCAAAGACGTGACATACATATGTCTTTGTCACCAACCAAAACTGCAGGATTCAGGGAGGACTCCTCAGTGGAAATCTGGATCCACCTGCCGTCTTTGATCGACAGTGGACACAAAGTGCGTCGGGCGAAGAATGGAGTACTGCTGACGCGTGGACCCATTGACCTGTCCCACATCAGCACTGTCATAGATCGGCACACAGGCAAGTCTCTGCCCTTCTAAAGTGTCCTCAGCAGTTTCACCTGTACCGAATTCGTTCTGCTGTGGTCTACTTTCGCAGTGGGAGGCTTCCTCCGGAGGTTTCCTCCACTTCATTTTAAAGTAGACAGCATGTACGCCCTCTGCTTAAGGCAACAAAGACTTTGATACAGCCTGAACGAGTTGTCTCTCTTTGCATGCACTAAGAGGAGTTTCCCCACCCTCCACCTGCACATTGCCCAGGTGAGCTTGGCGTCGCGAAGTCCACAAGCAGTGGCAGGCACTTCCTTCTGCAGTTCCTAGTTCCTGAGCTGTGCAGCCTTCAGCTAGAGCCCTTGCATGCTCGTTAGTAATGGTCAATGCCTGCCTGACATAAGAAACCGCTTCACACTTCCGTGGCAGTAGCCATTCTAACCTCGAATCCAGCCATCAACACCTGTGTTTCCAATGGAGAGCACTAGCTTGGTGCAAGCTCTCACTCCGCTCCTGGTTGCTCTCGTACACCAGCAGGTAGTTGCAGAGGACCAGAACATCTCCTCCGAGACTACCAGCACAAGGGTTGCGGAGTATTTCAACACTCACAAGGTGAAAATCCTCGCTCAGTTCATGAACTACGCACATGAGGTGCTCCAAGCAGAGAGGTTGAAGACACTACTTTGGGCAGTACAGTCATTGCCCGGATATGATGAATGGCGTGAAATCAAGGCGGCCCGGCGCCAAAAGTTGCGGAGCATCAGCCTACGATACTTAAGCCTGATGAGGTTCACCGAGCTTCCCACCACCCAAGGAACGTGGCACTACAGCGTGATCCTCACCGAACTAGAGAGCTTCTATCGTGAGACGCACATTATCCGGTATACCTCAAGCATGCTTCCGCCGCATCTTGACGCTCAGTATCAACAAGAGGTTGGGCAGGTGCGTGATGAGTTCTTTGCAGAGGATGCGGAAATGAACATAGCGATCGCACAGTGGACCACAATTTCGGCAGGACTCACAGTATGAGTGGAGGCTACCTCCGGAGGATTCCTCCCCTTCCTGCACCTCGCCGATTCCCTGTACACTTTTCAACACCTAAATCGGCACATTTGAAGGTGCAACTCTCAGCTCGACTAAGCCATGCATTAGTATGGCAGAACTCCATTTAGCACAGAGGTTGATAATAGTGTCTCTTTCTTTCTTTCATTAGGAGGCTTCCTCCCATGTTGTTCGCATATTTCATCTTCTTGAGACCTTCCTCATACATTAAAGTGCAATGGAGCTTCTCCAGCAAGGGATTGCAGTATCACTTGTCCAGCCTTGCAACAAAAGCAGATGGCTTTTTGTGACCATCAGCGGCTATGAGGAAGAAATCTTGCCTGAGTCTGTGTTGCACAATGGGGATCCCACCCACCTACCCCATGCAGAGCACACCGCTCGTGATGCAGGCTGCATTTGGCTGACGTCAACCGATGCTCTGAACAATCAGGCAGGGAGTGATCTCCAGATAGCATTGCTTGCAGCTAATCATCTCGTTAGCACCAGCATGCATGCTCACACTTGATGGAACTTTCTGTTGTGAGCAGCTTGCGCTTCAGACAAACTACAATCATTAATTCTCTTTTTCAGTCAGCAAGCTGGCAATCTTGATCTACTCTAGTTGTCATGCACTTTTGTTTCTTTCTTAATTTAATCTTACCGTTTTCTTGAACCTATTGATTCATTGCATCAGATAAGGAGGTTTCCTCCTGCATATCCTTAGCTCCACATTTTCTCGACCAGGCGTGAAGTTTTGCCCTGTCGCAGCGCTGGCCCCAGGAGCCGCGCAAGGCGTCCCAGGCCAGGCTTCGCAAACTCAGCTTCCCTGCATCAAATTTGGGCATTCTACTTGGAACGGGCAAGGCCGCCTTGGTGCGCTCTGCCTACGGCCCTCTGCCAGTTGTTTAGCGTTACCTGTGTGAGACGTCACTAGACGGGAACGCTGAGTGTCGGCCTCACCAGAGGTACGGCTCGCTAAACAGCTGGTGCGTGGGTGCTGGACGCAGTGACTCACAGTAGGGTGTCGGGGTAGCCGCGCTTACTTTTCACTCTTTTGCAGTGATGAGACCTTGATATCGGTGGCTGCCTCCGTGCCCACTCCAATTTCTTCTTTGATTCATTGCTTCAGGTCAGGAGGTTTCCTCCTGAATATCCTTAAGTACTCTGCCAAAGCAGATTCAGTATAGCAGGTAGTGAGACCTGGCAATCTGGAGGAAGCGATCCTCCCGAAGTCCAAAAGGCTGGACTGTGAAATAACAAAGGCGGGTGAGACCTTCTATATCATCCTTGCCCGCCTTAATCACACCAAACTCAGCTAGCGCACAGCTATAGCCTGCAACACAACATCGGGGCCAGCCGGCACTGCTGCAGTCGCGGGTGCAGGTGAGCCAGTAGGAAGCGGTCGTAGGGTGCCCAGCCAGCACAGCGCTATCGCAGCCCCGAGGGGCGGATGCATTCCACATACTCGAACATAGCTGTGCACAACAATCTTCAGCAGCCCCGAGGGGCGTGAAGTACAAACTAGCAAAGACTGCTGGAGCTCCCAAGGCGGATACAGAGTAGCCGACTTGCCGAGGATCCAAAGTGATCAGAGGTCCACATGCTGATTCTGGCAGTGAGTGCAATGCAAAAATGTCGTGGTGAGAAAGTCCTACAGTCCCTAACCAGGCTGTCCATCAACCATGAGGACTCGCTGAATACACTTCAGCAGGAACTGAGCTGGGTCATGTACCTGACCACCGGTGAGCTGTCCATTCTACCGAACATCTATGCGGAGAAGTCCAAAGACGCTTCGAAGTTGTCTACTCCATTCAGAACTCGAGCCATGAGATTGGTCTTGGAGCAGACCTTAGAAAGAGTAGAGCAGATTCAGACTAAAGAAGACGTGCTAGCGGATGCGGAGAAAGAGGGTTGGGTGGTACGTGTGAAGGACACCGAAGCTCCAGCCTTTGTCTACCAGCAGTGGAGCAGTGAGCAAGACAAGACGGTGCATGACACTGCTCGAAGGGCAGTCCCCGCAGAAGACGTCGTTCAATTGCTCAAAACGTGCTTGGAGGAGCTTGCGCAGCACCCACAGTTGATCTCCAGGCTCATGCCATCACGTCCGATCGTCGAGAAGATGACAGGTGGCCCAGTTCGAGTTCACATCCAGGTCCAACTCCAACATCTCAAAGGTAAGTTCCATCAAGCCCTGTCCGGACTCACGGACAATGCAGTCTGGGCAGCCATTGAAGGCTCACTAAGGCCAGGGAGCGTTCAGCGTAGTCCAACAGCTAAGTCGCTTGCAAAGCAGGCATCCGGCAGCAGCTAGCTCATAGAGCACCTTCAGCTTGAGAAGATCCTTTCACATAGAGGCAAAAAAATTCTGCATTGCCTTCAATAAGCGCCGAATTGTCTCTCAGCTTGCCTTCCTCTCCCAGCAACATCTGTATCTCTCCTATCACAGCAGCTTTTCTTGCTCGCGCAATCAATCCCATAGCTGGCTAGTAGAGAGCCAATGTCATACCGAGCTGAACGCATGTGTGCCAGAGAGGGCTGGATCTTTACGGAGGCTGATCGAGTGGCACTTTGGGAGCTGGATACTGCGCTAAGCAAAGCCCAGAAGCTTATAGATGCTCAAGCTCACCTCATCGAGGAAATGCAACGGGATCAGGTCAGACTACATGGGCAAGTCCGGCAACTGAGCGCAGAGGTGACTCAGCTCGCTCAGAGAGCACAGATCTATGGAGCTCACATCGAGCGTCTCTATCGTCTGTCCGACACCCAAGCTCTCTCTGAACGGATGGACTACTTGACCTGGACTCTTCATTACCAAGGCATCAGAGTCATGCTACCAGGACCATCGTCGAGCAGTGTGAGGCCAAGAGCACAACGGCGGCCTGCTCAGAATCCGTACTAGTACATAGCTTCCTAGATGGTCTGTATTAATCAGTCCTCGTGTGAGATGTCTTCAGCACCAGGGAGTCAAAAGCCTCTGCTATCACTGCATCATAGCCCAGCCTGTATGCGCGCACTCGCATTGCATAGCTCGGGAGGCTTCCTCCGGAGGCTTCCTCCATGCTACGGTCGGCGGCCTACGCGTGTCAGAATTACAGCAAGTGCAATCACTCACCCTCTGAGCAGCAACCACTCCATCCTTCTTAGGATTACTCCCCTGTCCGGGTTCTCTTTCAGGTTGGAGGATTTGTGAATAGCTTTCTCCTCTGTAGGGACACCCACCAGCTGCTTGGTTGAAGTTCGCTCATTGGCCCATTGCAATGCCGAAGCTTCTCTCAAGCCAATAGGATCAGGCCCTCAAAATGGAGCGTGATTTGACGAATGATGAGTTTGAGGCTTTAAATAGAAGGCGAGAGCAACAAGGCAAGGAACCACTGAGCTGGCGGGACGCACAGCGCCAGGCCCGGCGTAAGCCGAATCACAACAGAGGAGGCAAGAAGGCCAAGGCAGCTCCGTCCTCACAGCCTGTCACTTTCCTGCCGAGAGCGGAGGCTTCCTCCGCGGAGGTTTCCTCCGAAAGAACTCCAGAACAAGCTGAATCCATTTCCTTTCTGGTTCCTGATTTTGATCGGAGGGCCAGTGGGCAGGCATCAGACTGGAACACCAGCACTCATGTCCAGAGCCGCTATGCATGGACCAAGCGTCACAAGGAGCGTGAACAACTGGATCCGACTAAGGATGTCATGGAGGAGGCCAAAATATTTATCCGTACATTTCTGAGAACGCGTAAAGGTCCGAGCAACTCAGATTTGACTGCAAAGTTGGGAGATCCTGTCATGCAGGAAGACTGGGTGCGCTTTCCCCTAAGAGATGTTGTTCAGAGATGCACCGGCACGGATGACAGAGTGGGCTATCATGGGACCAAATTGGAATCGCTCTACTCGATCCTGTATTTAGGAAAGTTGCAACCGTCCCAGGATTCCTCTCAAGGAGAACAATATTTCGAGGGCTACCCAGGAGTCTACATCCATTCCGGCAGGCATGAGCGCAAGGCGGAGTCATATGTGACGCATGTATGGTTTCCCATCTTGAAGGAAGGCAACAAGTCTCTACGAGCAGTTGCGGCCAAATTAGCAGTGTCGTTCGACCAGGCTGCAGGATCTCTCCGTGGCTCCAAAGTAACGGATCAGTACATTCTCAGGGAAGACTACGTCCAGCTCGAGGCGCTGTTGCTTCACATCACAGACTCACTGCCTTTGGGGACCTATGTGCAGACTGGCTGGAATCCCCTTGCGGAAGCTGCCCCAATTCAACGCATAGCGAGGGAAAGACCGGAGGAGCCGAGTTCATACAGAAATCCACCAAGATCCTCCTCCCAGCATGCCAAGGAATCAGCTGCCTTTCAAGATGATGATAGCTCCACCTGGCAGGCCGCAGCTCCTCCTTGGAGAGGAAACAAGGCAATGGCCTCTGACCAAAGCGCTCTGCCGACCTCCTTGCACCAGCCCGAAGATGATAGTGATGAATCCTGGGGGATTTGGTCACCAGCTGCTGATCCCGCAGGCACAGATCTACAGGATCCATTTCATCAAGAAGTCCCACAGCATCAAGAGGGAGGCAGAAGAGAGCACGCCTGGCAGCCAGCAACTCAGCAATCACCGAGTTTAGCAGATCTGGATGTTAATCTTGATCGGCTCTCTGGACGGGGCGCTCACGAAACCAGACGAGAGATGATAGGCAAGCTCCTCACACAGGCTCTCAGACATGACCCAGCGAAGTATGGCATTTCGCTAGACACTGCTGGCTATGCCAATCTGAAAAGCCTTCTTAATTCCAGGCAATTCTGGCGGGCTGAAGTGACAGTTCACGAAGTACAGCGAGTACTGGAAATCTCACAGAAGGTCCGCATGGAGCAGATGATCTCAGAGGAAGACGGGGAAATCTACATCAGAGCCTTACAGGGTCATGGTCGTGACATCCCACTGGAAGACGATCAACTGCATGAGGTCCTGACCTCCTCAACAACACCGGAGTGGGGTGTCCACGGGACGAGCTGGCGGGCCTGGCACCAGATTCGCTCCTCTCAGCTGCGCAGAATGCAAAGACGTGACATACATATGTCTTTGTCACCAACCAAAACTGCAGGATTCAGGGAGGACTCCTCAGTGGAGATCTGGATCCACCTGCCGTCTTTGATCGACAGTGGACACAAAGTGCGTCGGGCGAAGAATGGAGTACTGCTGACGCGTGGACCCATTGACCTGTCCCACATCAGCACTGTCATAGATCGGCACACAGGCAAGTCTCTGCCCTTCTAAAGCGTCTTCAGCAGTTTCACCTGTACCGAATTCGTTCTGCTGTGGTCTACTTTCGCAGTGGGAGGCTTCCTCCGGAGGCTTCCTCCACTTCATTTTAAAGTAGACAGCATGTACGCCCTCTGCTTAAGGCAACAAAGACTTTGGTACAGCCTGAACGAGTTGTCTCTCTTTGCATGCACTAAGAGGAGTTTCCCCCACCCTCCACCTGCACATTGCCCAGGTGAGCTTGGCGTCGCGAAGTCCACAAGCAGTGGCAGGCACTTCCTTCTGCAGTTCCTAGTTCCTGAGCTGTGCAGCCTTCAGCTAGAGCCCTTGCATGCTTGTTAGCAATGGTCACTGCCTGCCTGCCATAAGAAACCGATTCACACTTCCGTTGGCAGTAGCCATTCTAACCTCGAATCCAGCCATCAACACCTGTGTTTCCAATGGAGAGCACTAGCTTGGTGCAAGCGCTCACTCCGCTCCTGGTTGCTCTCGTGCACCAGCAGGTAGTTGCAGAGGACCAGAACATCTCCTCCGAGACTACCAGCACAAGGGTTGCGGAGTATTTCAACACTCACAAGGTGAAAATCCTCGCTCAGTTCATGAACTACGCACATGAGGTGCTCCAAGCAGAGAGGTTGAAGACACTACTTTGGGCAGTACAGTCATTGCCCGGATATGATGAATGGCGTGAAATCAAGGCGTCCCGGCGCCAAAAGTTGCGGAGCATCAGCCTACGATACTTAAGCCTGATGAGGTTCACCGAGCTTCCCACCACCCAAGGAACGTGGTACTACAGCGTGATCCTCACCGAACTCGAGAGCTTCTATCGTGAGACGCACATTATCCGGTATACCTCAAGCATGCTTCCGCCGCATCTTGACGCTCAGTATCAACAAGAGGTTGGGCAGGTGCGTGATGAGTTCTTTGCAGAGGATGCGGAAATGAACATAGCGATCGCACAGTGGACCACAATTTCGGCAGGACTCACAGTATGAGTGGAGGCTACCTCCGGAGGATTCCTCCCCTTCTTGCACCTCGCCGATTCCCTGTACACTTTTCAACACCTAAATCGGCACATTTGAAGGTGCAACTCTCAGCTCGACTAAGCCATGCATTAGTATGGCAGAACTCCATTTAGCACAGAGGTTGATAATAGTGTCTCTTTATTTCTTTCATTAGGAGGCTTCCTCCCATGTTGTTCGTATATTTCATGTTCTTGAGACCTTCTTCATACATTAAAGTGCAATGGAGCTTCTCCAGCAAGGGATTGCAATATCACTTGTCCAGCCTTGCAACAAAAGCAGATGGCTTTTTGTGACCATCAGCGGCTATGAGGAAGAAATCTTGCCTGAGTCTGTGTTGCACAATGGAGATCCCATCCACCTACCCCATGCAGAGCACACCGCTCGTGATGCAGGCTGCATTTGGCTGACGTCAACCGATGCTCTGAACAATCAGGCAGGGAGTGATCTCCAGATAGCATTGCTTGCAGCTAATCATCTCGTTGGCACCAGCATGCATGCTCACACTTGATGGAACTTTCTGTTGTGAGCAGCTTGCGCTTCAGGCAAACTACAATCATTAATTCTCTTTTTCAGTCAGCAAGCTGACAATCTTGATCTACTCTAGTTGTCATGCACTTTTGTTTCTTTCTTAATTCAATCTTACCGTTTTCTTGAACCTATTGATTCATTGCTTCAGATAAGGAGGTTTCCTCCTGAATATCCTTAGCTCCACATTTTCTCGACCAGGCGTGAAGTTTTGCCCTGTCGCAGCGCTGGCCCCAGGAGCCGCGCAAGGCGTCCCAGGCCAGGCTTCGCAAACTCAGCTTCCCTGCATCAAATTTGGGCATTCTACTTGGAACGGGCAAGGCCGCCTTGGTGCGCTCTGCCTACGGCCCTCTGCCAGTTGTTTAGCGTTACCTGTGTGAGACGTCACTAGACGGGAACGCTGAGTGTCGGCCTCACCAGAGGTACGGCTCGCTAAACAGCTGGTGCGTGGGTGCTGGACGCAGTGACTCACAGTAGGGTGTCGGGGTAGCCGTGCTTACTTTTCCCTCCTTAGCAGTGAT